TTTAATGTTTATTTTTGAGAGAGACAGAGACAGAATGAGAGTGGGTTAGGGGCAGAGAGAGGGAGACACAGAATCCAAAGCGGGCTCCAGACTCCGAGCTGTCAGCACAGAGCCCGACGCGGGGTTCGAACTCAAGAGCTGTGAGATCATGACCTGAGCCGAAGTCGGATGCTCAACCGACTGAGCCACCCAGGCGCCCCCACATATGACTGGGTTTCTAAAGCAGTTCTACTGTGGGATTCTTACTAGCTAAGACAGTGCAAAAACCCATGCAGTAAAACATCTGTATGGTGCTGGCAGTTTCTGAGGCATTTCACGCATACCTCATTTAGTCTTCTTAACTCTGAGACGACACTGTTCCCACCAAGCAGACCGCAAAACGAGGCTTAGAAGTTATGAAACCCGCTGAGACAGTATTTGCCCCAAAAGGCTGAACTGTGACTAGTCCTGCTCTTGGATTTCAAATCTCTGGTTCTGCTAAGACTGCTGCTTCCTCTTCAGCTTTCAATACTGACCAATGAACCAATGTGGCCGACTGCTTCGATCCTCCAAAGGAAAACATCCCACTTCTAGAACCATCCTCTCTGCATCCTCAGCTTCAGAGAGGAGAGGACATTTTAGGCAGGAGGTTTACAAACAGAAGAATTGGATAAAAGTACATTCTAGGACAGCAACGCAGGTATATCAACAAAGACCATCTGCCATATTTAAAATTTTAAAAATGAAGGTTCCTGAGATTAATCTATATGGATTTAGTGGAATAAATTCAACATTTCATTCTCAAAAAAGAAAAAAGATACGGTTATGAAAGCCTCAGAGGATGACCAGTACTAGCCAGTACTTAAAAAATTCTTTAAAGCATACATACAGATTTTGTAGTTTATAATTTTAATGTTAAATTGGCTTACCTTTTCCCTCTTATGAGGGAAGAGATACCTACAAGGAAAGTTCATGTATGCCCTATGGTATTCTTGTAGGATCGTGAGGGGAATAAACTTGAATGCATTTTATATGCAAAACAAAAGCTGAGAGACTTAACTCCTTAACAGCAAAGGGAAAGTCTCTCTCACACACACATATGTAAGCCCACGTGGATGCATTCTAGCATGCCATTTGCATATGAAGTAATGAGGGTTATCAGGCTCTCCGTTCCTACATAAAGCTATGACCACCGTGGAATGTCCATTGTCTGCTTTTACGGTCCCCACTTATATGTGTGCCTTCTTTCCGCAGTGAAGTAGGTGCTGTGTTATTATGTTAATCCTCAGGACAACCCTATAAGGTTAGTACTATTAATAATTGCATTTTAGAAAAAGACTAGAAGAAGGCAAGTCCCTTGCCCAAGGCTGCCCAGCTAGTAAGCGGTGGATGGGATATTCTCCCCAAGAAGGATGAGTCTATACTCTTCACCCGGATGTTACCCAGCTGGGGAGGAAAACCATGCAGCCTCCCTAAAAGGAATTGGACGTCGGTATGTACTTGCTATGTGCAAAATCTATGAGAATTTATAGCAATCTCTGAAACCGGAACTCAGGCAGAAGTTTATTATTTTCTTCTTTGTCTACTGACATGGTTTCCAAATTCTGTACAAGCATATTTTATAATGAGAAAAAAAATTAATGGAAGCCAGCCCATTTATAGGGTATTCTTTACTTCACAGATCTTTTTTTTTTAATTTTTTTTTTTTCCAACGTTTATTTATTTTTGGGACAGAGAGAGACAGAGCATGAACGGGCGAGGGGCAGAGAGAGAGGGAGACACAGAATCGGAAACAGGCTCCAGGCTCTGAGCCATCAGCCCAGAGCCTGACGCGGGGCTCGAACTCACGGACCGCGAGATCGTGACCTGGCTGAAGTCGGACGCTTAACCGACTGCGCCACCCAGGCGCCCCATACTTCACAGATCTTAAAAGAGACTCTAGGTATACAAACTCAAGGTTGTATTCAAACATTTTAAATATTAATATAACCTAAAAAAACACTAATATAGCCGGCATATCCTATTCTGAAGTAAAAAGAAACTCCAGAACTAAATCTCATATAATTATAAAAAATGTTTAAATTTACCTCCTTCTCCAAGAAGAGAAATTAGGGGCACAGGGGCACCTGGTGGCTCAGTCGGTTAAGTGTCCAACTCTTTATTTCAGTTCAGGTCATGATCTCACGGTTCGTGGGATCAAGACCTGTGTAGGGCTCTGCACTGCCTGCTTGGCATTGTCTCTCCCTCTCTCTCTCTCTCTCTCAAAATAAATAAATAAAACCTTGTTAAAAAGATAGAGAAATTTAAAAAGCACAAAAGTAAGAGAAAAGTCATAGAATATCCGTTTACCATTCATAGTGAGATACTACTTACCATAAAAAAAAAAAAAGTTAATTTGAGATGAGGAAATTTTCAAAATTCTGTTCGTACAAATGATTATACCAACCACACCGACCGGACTGAGTATATGACAAGCATGTGAAATAGCTTAGGTAGAATCAAAGTGTAAATCCAATAAAAACATGGAGCAGAGAAGACACAGCAGGCTAATACGCCTTCTATCTCCTAGCAATCTGGAGCACATGCTGGCTCCTCTGACAGTGTGT